GCCGCGGCCCCGGCCCCGCCGCGCGCCCCACGCCCGCTATGCGGCTTCGCGGCGCGCAGCCTGTACCGGGTAAGCAGGGCGGGGGCCGCGGGGCACCGCCTTCGAGCCCCCCTTCCCCCGCGATCGTTACCGGGACGGGACCTTCCTCCCCCTCCTCCACCCCCCGCTTTCCCCCGCGGTCGTTACCGGCTCCGGGTCCTTCCTTTTACCCCCCTCCGGTGGTCGGTTGCAGGCAGTAGAACCCGTTCCCGTCTTCTCATCCTCTTGGATCATCGGTTACCGGCTGCATTCGCGCCGCGCTCCCCCCGCTCCGTACTCGGTTAACGGCCCCGCCGAGGAGCCCGCCGCCGAGCGCCCCGCCCCCCCGAGCCCGCCGCCGGGTATCGGCCGCGTTCCCTGGGCAACACCGCGCCACCCCTCCGGGTCGGTATCAGCCTTCCTCGGACCGAGCCCCCCCTCCATCTCCGCCGTGCTCCGGTACCGGCTCCCCGGGCCTGGTCGCTCCCGGGGGAGTGCGGGGCTCCGCCGAGCGGCGGCCGGTCGCGCGCGGGGGCCGCAGTTGCCCCGGCCGCCGCGCGCCCCCCCGCGGCCCTGCCGCCCGGACTTTCCCCGGGGCGGGAGCGGCTCCGTTCGCGCCGGGATGCGGAGGCCGCGGGGCCGCCCGTCCTCCCTGCGCCTCCCTCCGGCGCCGACGGCACCGGCCCGTCCGGCCGTGCACGCCGTGGGTCAGCCGGAACCGGGAGAGCGGGAGCGCCCGGCCCTGCGCGGGGGGCCGCGCAGCCGCCGCGGGGACAAAGGGGCCGCGGCCCAAGGTGGCGGGGTGGCGGCTGCGTCCCCGTGGCTGCCCGGAGAGCAGGGCCGCGGCGGGGCCGGCCCGGTGCCGCCTGAGCCGCCCCTTCTGCCGCCGGGTTTTCCCCTCCGTGGGGTTTCTCCTTCCAGGAGCCGGCCCGCCCGGTGCCGGAGCGCAGGGTCGGGCAGCCCGGGGCGGCCGGCAGCGCACGTGGCCGTGGGGCTGGCCCTGGTTCCGACCCACGGCTCCATGAAGGGAGCCACGGCAGGAGTGGAGCCTCCCCGGGAGGGCTCTGCCCCCGGAGCGGGTTCCCAGGGGATCCGCCGAGGCCCCTTGGGAAGCGGCCGCTCGGCAGCGCCAGGAGCCAGGGCCCCACGGCCTCAGCCCTGCGCGGGCAGATAAGGGAGGATCCCTGCCCGGAGCGGCGCTGATCCGCACCGGCAAGATGGAGCTGATAGGGGAGGAGGGGACGCGGGGCGGCAGCCGGGTGGTCGGGGCAGCCCCTGTTCCGCCCCGATGCCAGGCGCGGAGCCCGGAGCCGCCCGCAGCCTGTTTATGGGGGGATACGGGTCCAATCGGCCTCTGCACGGGGCCCCGTCCCCGGCAGGTGCCCGGCGCGCGGCCCCGCGGGAGCCTCGCGGCCTCTTCGAGGCTGGCGGCGCCGTATCGAATGCTGCCCGTTTTTGTCCAAGGGGATTAGTGAAGAAACGGGCGACTTAGAGCAGCTCCTGGGTCGGCCACGTCCCGCCCGCCTCATCCACAGCTCCTGTCCGTGCCGAGCGAGCGGCACTGTTGGCACCCGGGCTCCCGCGGCGCCTCTGCCTCCCTGCCCGTGCTGGGCGCCCATCGGAGCGGAACCAGGAGCCTGGGTGCCCCGAGGGCCCCGCGAAGGCACCGTGCAGGAGCCTCACTGGGTGGTCGCCGCGCTCCAGCGCCCGGGGGATTCCCTGCCGTCGGGAATGCCGTGCTGCAGCGCGCGGAGCCGCCCCGTCCCCACCAGCAGCTCCCGGCGCCGGCCCCACAGAAACAGGGCGTTTGCGGCCGGGAGCAAATGGCCATACATGGAATTACCGCGCGCGGCCTCCCCACCTCCACATGGGAGCCGCGGCGTGCGGAGCCGGCAGCGAAGGCGACGCGGGCTCCTGTGCAGGGGGAACCGGGGCGGTCCCGCTGCCCCCGCTCGGGCCCAGCGCCCCAGGGAGAGCCGCTGGTCTTGCCACGTGCGGAGGGGATGCGCGGGGCCCTCCTGTTGCTCTGTCGGAGCTGCCGGGCCCGCGGGAGGGTTTATGGCCCTGTTGCGGAGCGGGACTCCGGAGCAGGCGGGAAGCGCTTTCCCAGGCCGGGCTGTCCCGAGGCGGCCGTCCCTGCGCTGTGCTTGGGGCGGCTGCTCCGGAGTCGCGTCGAGGGCGCTCGGGTCCCGCGCGCTGGGTTCTGCAGCGCCCGGATAGAGCAGGGTTGGGTTGCTCGGGGCCTGGCTTCGCCTCGGGAAGCCTCACGTCCCCCGAGCGCTTGGGAAGCGGGGAGGGAAGCGCGGAGGGGATTTGCAGGTGGCGTCTCGCAGTAAACACGTTTGTGGAGGTTCCAAAGAGCGAGCGCGCTGCCCTCGGCGCCCGTCCCTGCCCGTCCACAGGGAGCTGCGCCGCACGGGAGCCTCCGCGCGCCGGGAAGCTGCCGCGCGCAGGAGCCACGTGGCACCCTGGCTGCAGCGGCCGCGCGGCCCGGCCGCGCTGCCCCCTCGGCCGCCGCGGGCCCTTATCGCGGGCGAGTCCCCGAGCTGCCTGCGGGGCGGCCGGCCCGATAGCCCTGCCCGCCGCGGCTCCCCTTCCCCCCGGGGCCGCCCGCGCAGCCCGGCCTCCCTATCTCATTAGCTCGAGATTAATGAGGCTCCCGGCTTGTCTTTAACTCCTTCGCGCTCGCCCGCGGCTGCTCCCTAACGCGCTGCCGCCTCTCCCGCACAGGTTGGCGCCGACGCAGAGGAGCGGAGCCAGCGCAGGAGTAGGGGTGCCCGGCGGCCAGGGAAGCAGCGATGCGGCGGCCCGCGACGGCCGCGCGCTGAGCCCCGGCGCCGCAGCCCCGCGCCACCCGCCGGAGCCATCGCCCCCGGGGAAGGCCAGGGAAAGCCCCGGGCACCGGGGCGGCCCGTCCTTGCAGCGCGGGCGCGCGGGAGCCGCCGCGGAGCGCCCGCAGGCGCCCGGCCCCGCTGGAGCGCTGCAGCGCGCCGGGCGCTGCGGCCCGCCTGCCGCCCCCGGGCCGCGCGGCCCCCCGGCCCGCCGCGGAGCTGCCGCCCGCCGGCAGAGCCATGAAGCTGCAGGCGGTCATGGAGAACCTGCAGCGGCAGCAGCGCGCGCGGCTGCAGCAGGCGCTGGAAGCGCGGCAGCACGAGCAGGCGCCGCGCGCCACGCCGCCGCCACCGGCACCGGGGCAGAGCTCCGGTGCCCCGGCCCCAGCGCGCACCCGCGGCCCCGACTCGGCCCCGGCGGCCTCCGAGGAAGGAGCGGAGCCGGAGAGCGCGCACATGCAGCGCGCGCAGATGGCCGCGCTGGCCGCCATGCGCGCCGCCGCCGCCGGCCTCAGCCACTCGTCCAGCCCCGCGCTGTCGGATGAGAGCCAGGCCTCGGAGGACGAGGAGCGCGGCGACGAGGAGGAAGAGGATGGCGGCTACCAGCGGGAGATGGGCTCCGAGGAAGAGGAGGATCTGTGAGTAGGGCTGTGCTGCCAGCAGGACCCCGGGGGTGGGTTGGGATCCGCGATGCCGGCATGGGGCAGTGTGCCGGGACACCGGTGTCCCCATTGGGGACGTGCTGGGCTCAGCGGTGGTGCCGCTGGCGAGCGGGGCACGGGGCGTCAGCTGCTCCTGCTCTGCCAGGGCTCCCTTGCGGATGTGATTCCTTGTCACAGGCTGACACAGGGCGAAATTTCATCCCTTTCCAGGGAGCCCTGTGGGGCCGTGACAGAGGATCCTGGCCCTGCGTTAAATTATGCAGGTTGCTGCGCGCTGCAGCCGTGGCCCTGCGGGCAGCGCCGGCACGGGAGCGCAGGGCTCCGTGCGTTCCGGAGGCGCGGGAGACGTTGGCACCCGCTGCTGTGCACTGGCTGTGCCTGGGTGCGGCTAGGCACAAGGCGCTGGTCCTGGTGCCGGTGCTGAGGCCCGGGCCGCCCTGAGGCGCCCTTGGGAGACGCTCTGCAGGGACAGGGGTGCTGGAGGCGGCAGGGGCACCCGGGTGTTCCCTGCGCCTCCTGTGGCACTAAGGACGCGTCTCCTGTTCCCCTGGTCTAGGAAGGGCAAATGGGATGAAGAAGACTTTGAAGAGGACCTAGGGGAGGATGAGGAGGAGGAGGAAGAGGAGGAGGACGAGGAGGAGGAGGAAGACTACGAGGAGGACGAAGACATGGGAGAGGAAGGGCTGGGCTCGGCGGAGGCAGTGCGGCCGGGCGCGGGGTCCCTGCTGCTCCGCAAGCCGCAGGCGGCTCCGCAGTGCCCGGCGCGGCGGCCGGGCGGCCCCGAGCGCCTGGCGGCCGGCCTGGGCGCGCAGGGCCACGCGCAGCTCCCGCAGCCCGCGCCCGACCACGGCGACTGGACCTACGAGGAGCAGTTCAAGCAGGTGGGTGCCGGGAGCTGCACGCGGCTGCGCCCGCCTTCCCGCCGGCTCCTCTGCGGGTCCCCACTGCTCCGGGGCAAAGCCGGAGGGACAAAACCCAGGGAAACGGGGCAAAAGCGCCCGGCTCGGCCCTGCCCGACTCTGGCTCGCAGAGAACCCTCCCGTGCCGGCGATTGGCCGGTGCGCGGAATTGAATCCCTAAGCTGCCGGCTAATAGAAGGAAATGTGCTTAAAGCCGGAGTCCCCGGAGGCTGCCGGAGGCGCCTTTGATGTATGTGTTTAAGTACATGGGCGTCGAGGGCGGGGGCGGGGGCCGCAGCAGATGGGACCCAGATGGAGGGGCCGGGGCCGCAGGAGGCACCGCGGCCGCCCCAGGGGGGCCGCACGGCCCCCGGCACGTGCGGGCGCCGCGTCCCCGTGTCCCGCAGCGCTCGTGCCCGTCCCGGCGCGCGGGGGACGCGGCCGCCCCGCGCCGGGGGCTCTTGCACAACGCGGCGCTCGCGGCAGGATATGGCCGCGCCTGCAAGAATTTGGCGGCGTTGGGGGCAGGGAGAGGAACATCCTGAGCGGGCTCCACGCCGCCGGTGTGGCCGTGTTCCCCCTGGGAAGCGGGGATGCCGGGGCAGCTTGCACGGAATCTCCGGCGGGCCGGGCACTGCGGGGCTGCCTGGATCGCGCTGCTCGAGGCCGCGGGCTGCAGCGTCTTGCAGCGTCCCCAGGCTGCCGCGCCGGCACAGCCGGGCGGTGGCACGAGGGGACCCATTGCGGTGCCTGCGGAGCTCTGGCGCTTCCCCTGTAACGCCAACGTACGCGTAGGGTTTCAAAAATACCCCGCACTCTTCCTGTGTTGTGTGCAGCGCGTGCACATCCTCACCTCCCAGCCGCCCGCCGCCTCTTGCTTCTTGTGGTTTTTCTCTTTTGTGCTTCCTGTAATTAGAGAGTGGGGGCCGTAATCTTTTTATCTGTGCGAAGGCTTTCAGATACCGCAGCTGTGATCTTCCTGTTTGTCACCGTGCCGGTGTCCCTGCAGCCCGGTCCCGCCATGCAGCTCCCCCAAGGCCCCGTGTCCTCCTTTCCCGCGCGGGCGGCAGCCCCGACCCCTGTCCCACTCCCTGGCCCCGTTGCCAGCCCGGGCGCCTGGCAGGGGAGCCGCTTTGTGCAAAGCCGGGAGAAAACCCTCTTGCTCGGGAGTTATTGCATGTGCCGCGGGTGGCGGAGCGCCCACGGAGCGCCGTCCGGTGCGAGGCTTCCCCGAGAGCGCCGGCGTTTGGACGGCGGCCGCTGGCCGCGGGCCAGGGGGTTGCTCAGCGCCGGGAGCTCCGCTTGGCCGCCCTCCAGCGCGAGCGCTTGAACGCGCTCCAGGCCCAGCTGATCGGCCGCGCTCCGCCGGGAAGGAGCAGGAATGTAAACAGAGCGGGGCAGGATGCGCTGCGCCCGCCGCCCCCGGCCCGGCCTGGCAGGGGATGCTTTATGACTTCCTCGGCCGCCACCTCTGCGGGCCGCTCCGGCGTGCTGCCGGCTTCCCTGCGCACGGGAGGCGTGCGGAAAGGGAACGCAAGTCGCGCTCGTGCCCAGGTGGGACGGGGGCGCCGAGCCCCCGGAGCACTGCCTGGGCTGGGGGGCACTCGGAACAGGGAGCAGCTCCCTGCCCGGTGCCCGTGCGCGGCCGCGGGGTTCGGGTGCCCCGTCCGGGCCACGTTCCCGCCCTGGCTGCGCGGGCGAGGCCGGAGCTCCCGTCCCCCGGGACAGGCGCCGCGCGGGCAGAGGTCAGGCCAGGGCTCGACCCGGGGCCGTCCCTGAGCTCAACAGCTTCCACCCGCAGCAGAACAAAGGGGCTGGGGACCCCCTGCGCGGCGAGGCCGGCGGAGGCTGCCGGCGGCGCGGGAGGATGGAGGCGAGCGCCACTCGTCCTTGGAGCCCCACACCGGAGCGCAAAGCGGCGGCACCACACAGGGATGCGGGGGGAGCCGGGCAGGCGGCCCGCACTCCCTCCGGACCAATTCCCCCGGGATGAGCAGCAGAAACCCGAGTGCGACCGGGCCCGCGTGCCCCTTCCTGGCGCCGGGACCGTCCCCAAGGCCCCATCTGGCAGCCCCGGTGGGTGCCCAGGTGCAGCCCTGCCCTGACCTTTCTGTTTCGGATTCAGATATTACTGCGTGCCACTAATAGCGGGAGCGGCGCCGGCCGCGCACGTTCGCAGCGGCACCGGCGCTTCCTGTCCCGGCCCTGCTGGGGTTTCCGGCGCGTTTAGCGCGAAAGGCGGCAGCTCCGCGCGCCGTCCCGTAAACGCGGCTGATTCATCGGTGCCTGTACCCCGTCACCCCGTCAGCGCGCAGGGTCCGGCTGCGCTCCCGGGCTGTGCTCGCCGCTCGGGGCGCCCCATCCGCGGCACTGGGAACGGGCTGAGCCGCTGCCGCTCCTCTCGTTCCGGGGCCGTTCCAGACTTTTGGCCACCGCTGCTGCCTCGCATTGGTGTCCGTGCCCCGCGGCCGGCTGCGTTCGGCACTGCTGCCTGGTTCCTGTTGCAAAGACTGGGCACAGCTTAAAGAAGGCGCCTCGGGGGCAGGCGCCAGGCTGCACCGGGGATGGTGCCTTTGAGGGGACGGGAGATTTCCCGGAGCGTTCCCAGCCGGCTCCTCCGACTTAGTGGCACGCAGGGCACACGGAGCTCATTGCTGCGCGGTGGTGCCTGCCCGGGTGCACGGGTAGCTGCGATCCAAGGTGCAGCCGTTGGAAAGGGCGGAGGGAAAGCGGCCCCGCAACCCCTGGGAAGCGGCACCGCGGCCGCCCTGTCCCCGAAGCAGCTTGTAGCCCGGTCCAGAACGCGCCTGCAGCCCGACGGCTGCTGCTCTTGGGGAACGAGGCACGTTCCGGCTCCGCAGAGAGCTTTCCCCTAAACGATGGGGCAATCCAGCAGCCCCGGACACCGCGCGTTGCAGCACGGGCCTCGCAGCCCTCCGCGAAGCCGCCCCGGCTCCTCTTTCCAAGCTCCCCGTTCTCCCCACGGAATTTCCCCTGGGAAGCGGCGCGGGAGCCGCTGCAGAGAAGCAGCTTTCCGGCCGCGGCCCCGGAGCCGGCTGCCCTTGGGGGCAGGTGCCCTAAATGGTTTCATGCTGTTCACATGACTCAGCGAGCAATTAAAACTGAAAAGGGGGAAATGCAAGAGGGGCTGAAGAGGCAGAGGAAATGGTGATTTCTCGTTCAAAGGCGCCCTTTGAATAGGGCCGGTTCTCTCTATTGCTCCTCAGGATGCGGCCCGGGGTTGGATGTTACTTTTGTTCGGGAGGGAGACTCCGCTAATGGCTTTTAGTGCGGGAAGGCACTGGGGGATGGGGCGGCCCCGGAGGCCGCTGCTTTATTGTGTTTTGGTGTAAGCGGTGGCTTTTCTGCAAGATTCTGGGGTAAACACGGGTTTTCTGCAGGATTCTGGGGTAAACAGACGTTTTTCTGCAGGATCCTGGTGTAAATGTGGCTTTTCTGCAGGATTCCAATGCAAATGTGGCTTTTCTGCAGGATTCTGGTGTAAATGTGGGTTTTCTGCAGGATTCTGGTGTAAATGTGGGTTTTCTGTAGGTTTTGGCTGTAAACGCTGGCTTTTCTGCAGGATTCTGGTGTAAATGTGGGTTTTCTTCAGGGTTTTGGTGGCCCTGGACACCGTAGCCCTGGGCCGTGACGCCCTGCTTGCCTTCAAAGCGCTCGGGCCAAGCCCCTCTCTTTTAACTCTTTTAAGCCCTTATTAACATTAAAGAGCTCCAGTTTAATTGCATTAAATCTGAGGATCCTGGAGTATCTGAGGATCCCGGGGCATCTTTCAGTAGGGCCCGAACTCTTCAAAACTGGACGGAAAGTATGTGCTGCAGGAGGGGAACGTGCTGCTTGGGCTCCCCAAAGCAGGGCGAGAGCGGAGCCGGGGCCGGTCCCGTGAGCCCTCGGGCCTCTCCTCTGGGTGGAAAAGGGGCAGACTCCTGGGTTTACCCCCCCCAGCAAATGGGGGGGGCGTTGAGCAAAAAAAGCCCCTTGATTTTCGTCAATTGGAAAGAAAGAGCAGGCTGCAAAAGCTCGTTCTGACTCGCGCAGGGATCTTCCCCGTGAGTCAGTTGCTGCTGCAGGAGAAGTGATACCGGGGCTGGGCGCGGGTTCCCGCGAGGGGCTGGCGCTGGCGACCGGGGCCGTTGGGGGCTTTGTTGCGTTAGCAAGCGGAGGAGCCTCCCACCGAGCGGATAACGGGGCCCTCCGCGCGGATAACGGGCCCTCCGCGGGCTCTGCTCGTGTCCCTCGGGCAGGGAAGTGCCCGGGCTGCCCGTTCTGAGCGGATGGGTCGTTCCGAGGGGCTCCCGGCCCTTCGGAGCCCTGTTCCCGAGGGTGCCCTCGGCGCCCGCCTCGCTCCCAGGTGCTTCCCGCAAGGAGTCTGCCCCGTAATGAGCTCAGGGCCCTAAGCGAGCGCTCCCCGAGCCGTAATCCGGCGCAGATCCCGCGCGGGGGTCAGCGACTCTGCAGAGCCGCTTAGCCGCAAGGGGCTCCGCGGCCGCCGGCTCTGACCGGCAGCTCCTGCTGGGAACGAGCCCGTCCGCATCCCTGTGCCCTCCCCGTCCCAGGGGACTGGGCTGTTCTCGGCTTTCCCTGGGGCTGCACTTGCAGGATCGGGAGAGTCGGGAATTGCTGTCGGTGCCGGTGTCGGTGCACAGAATGTGATCCACGTTTGCTTTGCTCCTGCCTGGAGCATCATCTCGGCCGGGCTGGCAGAGCCCGCCTGGCATCTGAGCCAGCCATTATCCCCGTGTCCCCCCAGCTCCAGCTTCCCCCGGGAGCCCCTGCCACACCGGAGCCCGGCAGCTCTCACGGATGCAGCCGCCTCCCAGGCCCAGCACAGCTGAACTAACAGGAATGGAGGTTTACTTAAGGAAAAAAAAAAAAAAAGAATTACAGAAAACAGCGCGGGCCCTTCGTCAGCAAAGCAAACAGGCGGCAGGCGCGAGCGTTGGGCAAGGCGCCGCGTTGCCCCA